AGTAATACTCAAAGGAGAGTAACTATGACCTGTAAGGATAGATTTTTGTGCCTTCATGTGAATCCCACTTATTCATTAAAATTCCAATCACCTCAGAATGTTCTAAAAAGTACAGCCCTGTGGGTCAATCAACTCTGAACCTAGGGAATACGTTCCCTGGGAAAACAGGTGACTACAAAAAAAACAAACAAATAATTGTTTTTGTTTTTGACTCCCTAGTTTTTGGTTCTCTGTTTATTCTACTCCACCAAATCTATAAGACCTCTATTTTTCTCTTCCTTATCCTCCTTTTCTTTCCTTCATCTTTCCTCCTCTTGACTTCCATCTGACTGCAGTCCCATTAAGTCCGGAGAGCCACCAGAATGACTCAGGGTTTCTCAAGCTCTCATTGATCAAAGGATAATTCCTTGTTTTGAGGGACTGTCCTAGTCACTAGAAGATGTTCACCAGCAACTGTGGCCTTTACTTAAGATTCCAGTGGCACCCAAATCCTTTCTAGTCATAAACATAAAAAAAAATGTTCAAGTTGCCAAATGTACCAGATAAGGGGCAAATCTCCCCCAGCTGAGAACAGCTGGGGTAAGTGAATCTGCCTCAATTCTTTTCCCAGTAACTTTATGATTTATAGTTAATTAGGGATAAAATTAAGTTCATGGAGGAGCAGAGAGAAACTTCTACTGAAGGTGGGCTCAGGAAGCATCATTATCAAAAAGAGAGACAGTCTTTTTTTTTTTATGAATTCTAGTTTCTCTGCCAAGTTCAAGAACATCCTGAATCTGCAAGCACAATGGATTTTGCTTGTCTAATTTATCAGTTACAGATACATGAAATGCCATTAGGATGAAGGGGTCTTTCTATTTTCACCTCAGAGATGGAGTAGGCAGGAATTTTCAGCAAGCTATAAATATCCAACACATTCTGAGGTAACTCATAATGCCTTGTTAGGTTAATACAAGGTGTCATTTTTGAGCATTAGTGCTTTGTTGGCAATTCACTCTGAATTTGGGAAAGGAAGAAACCAAAGCAGTGAAATGCTTAAATGGCTAAGAGCTATCTTATAGCTCATGAACACAGTATCTTGGGTACTTGCACTTGTTTCTCTTCTGGTTTTCTCTTGAGTTTTATCTAGGCTTAGGAAAGTCAGATAAAATCCCAACTTGGAATCAATCAGTGAGCAGATAGGAATGTCTCAAGTTGTTTTTACTTTTTTAAAAAAATATTGATATTTATATATTTTAATCAGATGAATTCTCCCAGTGTATTTACTGCTAGGGCAAACATAAGGAAGGTGACCAAGCATCAAGGGAGGGTCTTCTGATAACCCTGTTTCCGGCTAGTCTTTCTCCTACGCCTGCCACTCACTTACTCACTATCTCTGACCCAGACAGATGACAGGGTCTGACAGGTCAGTTTCTAAATCAGGAAATGAAAAGACCATGCCTCTAAATTTCTGCCACTCTATTTTATCACTTTGTACACAAGAGTAATGATGCCTCCAGCTCAAATGTTTCAGACAAACTCCTCAGAAAATTAGAGAAATCAATGGACTTCCATAGTCACTTGAGGTTGCTAGAGAAACAGCCAGTAGGAAGAATACTGAGCTCTATTGAAAAAGAAATAAAGTGAAATGTACCTTTTAGTAATTTGTGCAACAACAAAGGCCAGATTCGTAGGTAGTGTGCCTTAATGTAAACACACGCAAAGTGATTTTTCATCACTGGAGCCAGACTCTAGAATCATGGGGTGCTTCGGAAAATAAATGCACGGACAAGTAAGAATACCAACGGCACTGATGCTATTAAGCCTTACAATAACAAGGCTGATTTGGCTGAAGGTTCAGAGTATTTACTGGCAGGAGGAGAAACAATACAAAGAAGACCATAAGGTATAGATTCCTTTGAAGTAGATGCTTTTGTTGTTTATGCCAAAGGATGTTTAAATGGAGGCATCGGCTATAGCAAAATAGACACAAAAAGTCAAAAGTGAGGTGCCAAGCCATGATTTATCAATTTAGACATCTGGACATCCTTCACCCATGTGGATGTGGAGGTAGAGATGGTCAGGGAGTAGATTTACATGATGGGTGTCCCTGGCTTGCTAGGTACGCCATACTCCTAGCAGGGAGGGTACTTGGCTCCTGAGAGAAAGGTTTTTTTTTTTTTTAAATTTTATTAGTGACAAACCAAGAGGTACAGTTGTAGACTTACAAATTTTTGTGCTTGGGTTTCAATTATACAATGATTAAGTACCCATCCCTCCACCAGTGCCCATTTTCTACCACCACGGATCCCAGTATCCCTCTCACCCCCTATCCCCCCATCCCACCCTGCCTCTGTGGCAGGGCATTCCCTTTTGTTCTCTCTCTCCTTTTGGGTGCTATGGTTTGCAAAAGAGGCATTGAGTGAAAATCATGTTCAGTCTATAGTCTACTTTAAGCATGCTTCTCCCATCCTGGGAGGATCCTCCCAACCCCCTTTATTTGGTGCTCCCTTCTCGATCTGAGCTGCCTTTCCCCCAGCGTGTGCGGCTGGGCTCAAAGCCACGGAGTAAACCTCCCATACTTATCTCGGCTCTTCTTGGGTGTTAGTGTCCTATTTTGTTACTTAATGTTCCCCAGATAAATGCAATCTGAGAAAGGTTGTTTTTTGTTTTGTTTTGTTCTAAAATTTTTTTTAAAAATTGAGACATTGGGATTTTAAATATTGTTAGTCATATTTTCATCATTCCATACCACATGTACCACTGAGAGATTATTTCCCTCCACCAATGTCCCAAGGACCTTTTCCCCAACCCCCATCATCCCCACATAAGCTCATTTCTATCAACAAAATCTTCAGTTCTGATGACTCTGATCATTAGCTGTTTCCTTACTCTGTTTCTTCTTTTATCTCACATTTGACACAGATCTCACTCTCTCTCTCTCTAATTGTGGAGGTGGTGACACCCGCGTACATACAGGTAAACTCCTGGAATAGAGCTAAACTCCTGGAATTCCATAAAATAGTAAATAAATGACAAACTGATAAAGTAATTTCCCCCCAAATTCTAAATTTTCTACAGGTATATAAATTAAAAAAATTAATATCATGAATAGGTCTGTGCTAACACATTTTCAGATTTATATGAAATAGGTAAATTCTACAAATGTCAAAATAGAAAGAGTGAAGAGGGTTAAGAAAAAAGTAAGAGGATCTGAATAGACCTACAGAAATATAAAAGTGTGTTTTATCCTAAGAGCAGGAATATGGGTTCCATTCAAAAATAATATAGGAACCTCAGGAATGCTGCATGTGGCCCGTGTGGCCTAAGATCATACTATGCACTGGTATTTGAAGAGAAACCAAAACGAGGAAGAAGTTGGTGGTAGATACCAGCTCAGGAGGGGTGGGGAAGTAACTGGTCTCCCAAAGATGGTTCGGGCAAAGAGTATTTGAGTGTTTTTTTACAAATGAGAAGTGGGGTACAGAGAGAAGCAGTCTGGGTTTTGAGACTTTGTCCAAAAGACATCACAGATGAGTCAAGCTGCATTTTAGAACACTTGAGAAGCACACAGCCCTGGATGTTAGTAAAATCATCCTGGACCAGGAACACATTGATTTTAGAAGTAAAGTTGACAGCAAGAGCTGTGAGAGCAGAAAGACTAGCAGGAAAATGGAGCTTCAGGGCTGGAGCAATAGTAAGGGGGTAGGGTGCTTGCCCTGCACTCACTCAACCTGGGTCCAATTCCCAGCATCCTTTATGGTCCCTTAAGTACCACCAGGAGTCATCCCTGAGCTCAGTATCAGGAGCAAGTCCTAAGCACAGCCAGATGGGGCCCTCAAACAAACAAAATGGAACATGAATGTTGACTGCAACTTTTTCTTATATGAGCCAACAGCATCTTTTCCTGCCAAGATGTCTGGGTTTTCAAGTCACGGTAAGCACTTCACTGCATAATCTTTTTTCAAATGAACTGGGAGAAAATTCATAGTCTAAATTTGTGCTAGACCCTTCTGGAAAACAGTATGGATGATTCTCAAAAAATTAGAAATTCAGCTCCCATTTGACTCAGCAATACCATTCCTGGGAATATATCCCAAAGAGGCAAAAAAGTGTAGTCGAAATGACATCTGCACTTCTATGTTCATTGCTTCACTGTTCACAATAGCCAAAATCTGGAAAAAACCCGAGTGCCAGAGAACAGATGACTGGTTAAAGAACTTTGGTACATCTACACAATGGAGTACTATGTAGCTGTTAGAAAAGATGAAATCATAAAATTTACATACAAGTGGTACTACATGAAAGTATCATGCTAAGTGAAATGAGTCAGAAAGAGAGGGACAGACATAGAAAGATTGTAATCATCTGGGAAATATAAAGTAACAAAATAGGAGACTAACATCCAAGAATAGTTGAGATAAGTACCAGGAACTTCACTCCATGGCTTGAAGGCCAGTCACACATGCTAGGGGAAAAGGCAGCTCAGATAGAGAAGGGAACACCAAATAAAGGGTGTTGGGAGGATCCTCCCAGGATGGGAGATGCTTACTGAATGTAGACTATAGACCGAACATGATTGCCACTCGATGCCTCTTTTGCAACCCTCAGCACCCAAAAGGAGAGAGAGAACAAAAGGGAATGCCCTGCCACAGAGGTGGGATGGGATGGGGGGATGGGGGGATGGAGGGCTACTGGGATCATTGGTGGTGGAGAATGGGCACTGGTGGAGGGATGGGTACTCGATCATTGTATAATTGAAACCCAAGCACAAAAACTTATAAGTTTATAACTGTACCTCATGATGTTTCACTAATAGAAATTAAAAAAAAGTCATGCTAGACCAGAACTGCTCCCAAACCAGGAAAAGACAGGAGTATCAGAAGACCAACTTTACTTGATTCCCTGCATAAACTCCATCCCTAGGAAAGATGGAAACTGAAATCCAAATGAGTTTTTGTTAAAACATGGACTTCTTTTGATCATAAATTAAGAAACAAGGAGAGTCAGCAAGATGTTACCTGGTAATGAACTCTCTGGGAGCCAGAAGAAACTGACTGCAGGTCCTAATGGGAAAATGGGGGGGAAAAATCCATATCTTAAGATTAGTTCAAATCAGCAGCTTCCATAACTGTCTCAACTGAAGACCCAATTTCATATCATTACGTGCATCCGAGTTCATTAAGGTTAAATAAAATAAGATCCTGCAAAAAATTTTTAAAAATGCCAAATTCAACTAAGAGGATTAGGGCCACTTAGCTACTGAAATTCATGAAACCTACATAAATGCAGGTAAACACTGTATTATTTCCCAGATAGCAAAGACCGGATGTAAGAGAGGCAATTTGTTTATATAAATGGGGAGGTCATTTTAAATTAGCACCAGAACTTTTGGCTTGTGAAGAGTCTAGAAGAAAAATCTCCTTAAGCACTTAGAAAAAAAATCATTTCTCTTACACCAAATACACTCTGTCATGGTAATTGTGTTTACACAGTTAAGTTGCTTAGCAAACACAGGTTTTCATAGACTATGAAGAGAAAATCACCCACCACCTTTGCATTATCACGAAGCACAAATTAACAGGGTGGAAATGAATGAGGTTTTGCTGGCAGATGGTGAGAGCCTAGCTCCCTTTTAAGGTTTTATAACTAAGCTGTCCCCACCATCATGTCCTGCAGGCATCCTCATTAATGAGTCCAGGGATTCTATTTGCAGATGGCAGCGATCCTGGCCACCTCTGTCTGCTGCCTATGGGGCTTTATCGGCTTCTTCTCTGTGCCCAAGTGAATTTTAAAAGTTTTCCTCCTTGGATTCTTCCAGGAGGGGAGATGCATGTTGAAAGTAGACTATGGACTGAACATGTTTGCCACTCAATGCCTCTTTTGCAGACCACAGAACCCAGGGGGAGAGAGAGAACAGAAGGGAATGCCTTGCCACAGAGGCAGGGTGGGATGGGGGTGGGTGGGAGGGATATTATCCATGGTGGTGGAAAATGGGCATTGATGGAGGGATGGGTATTTGATCATTGTATAATCGAAACCCAAGCACAAAAAATTGTAAATCTAAAAAAAAAAATAATGAATGTGATCAAAATAGAGAGAAAGTTAAGTGGAAATCATCTGCCTCACAGGCATGGGGAGGGGTGGGGTGGGGGGCGTATATTGGGCTTCTTGGTGGTGGAAAATATGTACTGGTGAAGGGACGGGTGTTTGATCATTGTATGACTGAGACTTAAACTTGAAAGTTTTGTAACTGTTCTCACAGTGATTGAACAAATAAATTTTTAAAAAATCCTTAAAAAAAACAAAGAAACTAGAGCAGAGCAATAGGACAGTGGATAGGATATTGGTGCCCTAATAACTGCTGGAATTGATAACTGAATGCAGAGCTAGGAGTAATCCCTGACTACAATGGGTGTGGCTACAAAAAAAAAAGTTTTCCTCCTTGAGGACTGGAGAGAGAGTATAGAGGGCAGAGAGCTTGCCTCGCATGTCGCAGACCTAGGTTCTATCCCTGTCACCACAAATGGTCCTCTCAGCACTGCCAGGAGTGATCAGAGTTCAGAGTGAGGTGTGACGCCCAAGCAAAAAACCACACTTTTATTTCTCTCTCTCTCTCTCTCTCTCTCTCTCTCTCTCTCTCTGTTTGCTCTTTCCCTTTTGTAAAACAAGAATGCCATTTTTAATTGACTATGGGTGTGATAAGCATGCCAGTGGATTGATTTTTCATAAAATCAATTCATCAGACATATTTTTCTAGCATAACACTTTAGGTGACTTTTTCTTTTTCTTTTTCTTTTTTTAAGGAAAGATAAGAAAAAGATTTGAAGCGGTCACGGTTCACTTCTTTAAGGCAGGCTTGTTGAGTGATGTTCCACAAGAAAATACATTCTTTTGAAGAATGAGATGCCAGATCTTCCAAGAATATTGATTTAGGCCTGAGATACATACTAAAAAGTTCACAAATTTTAACACGTTAAAACTATCCTTGGTAAAAATAGTCAAAGAGCCACAGGTATAAAAGTGGCTGACTCTTCTCTTACCTATATTCAAATTTCCCACATCATATTAAAACATTTTATATTCATGATTTCATCTCTGTCCTTAATGATGCTAAGGAGAAATTTAATAGTGTTTACATCATTTCTTGCTTCCTTTTTGAATTGGTTACCACCAAGAGAAACTGAACCTGATGTTTTAATCTAAGTGGCTCTCACTTTTAGGGATTTTGATCACGATCACAATCATCCTGTTGTTTGTCGATTGCCTCGAGCAGGCCCCAGTAACGTCTCCTTCGTCCTAGCTCTGAGATTTTAAAAAGTGCCATATTCAAGGCTCTTTCAGGGTTAGGAGAATGAGACCCATCATTGTTACTGGTATTTGGCATATTGGGTACACCACAGGGAGTTTGCCAGACTCTGCCGTGTGGGCAGTTTACATTTGGTAGCCTGCCAGGTTGTCCAAAGTAAGAATGAGATAACACCCACAAACTGGCCCCCTAGTGCTGTGTAATCCCATCAACGGCCAAGACACAGAGACTATAGGGATTTTGAACACTATATATTTGCTTTACTTGTGACAGACTATATAATGTGCTTTCTGGAAGAGAATTGGTCATATTGGATTACCTATCAAAATTATTGATAGATACATCAATAGCTTAAAAACAAATGTCTAGACCTCACCCAAGAAAATGACTCTAATGTGCATCTTTTAACAAGAAACATTAATAAGGAAACAGTTTTTCAGGCCTTTTTCCATTTGTAGATTGAAGGCGATGATCATGTTCCCTTTAAGTTTTTTATTTTATTTTAATTTATTTTTGCTAAAACAACCCCAGTGATGGGTATAGATCTAATATGTCCTGGTGTCTTCTAAATTCATGGAAATGTCTTCTATGCCCCCTTTGTTTCTCTATGGAATGAACCAGATTAAGGGAAAAGAATAGAGAAATTATTCCTTTGAATTATGATACAAATTTTAAATAAGCATAGGTTTTTATTTTCCATGAAAGTTATGGTTAAAAATAGTCTAGCTATCTCTGACAGAAGTCTGTATAACATATAAAACAGCCAATAATTTTAAATCTCTGTTTTCCTTCATGATTTACCAGTGTCCTCTGAAATTCTCTGTAGGTTTTTTCTAAAAAAAAGTGTGGCAAGAAAGACAGATGTTTTCAACTGAAGTTCTGGGATACCCTTGAACAATATTGCACTTGCCCATTCCACCATCTTGACCAGAAAAACGAGCAATGAGGGAAGGAAGGAAGGAGGTATAGCGGATGCTTAAAAGACATGATCACCTCATTTTCCATTTCCTCCCCCAGCCCCAACACTTTGTACATAATTTAAGAGCAGATATATGTAGCTGATAAATCTTTACAAAGATAGAAAGTTGAAGAAATAATAAATTTTCTAAAAAGAAAAAAATAACAAAACTCACCTCTTGTAGACGATCTATGTACATACGGCAAGTCTCCAAATCACAGTCTCCACGTACAACTAGAATACCCAGAGGGATGGCTAAGGGCGAAGGAAAGAGAAAAGTCTAAAATGACATATTTGAATTGTCCATTTTGACATAAATGTGTCTCTTGTGGCTAATAAAAAGTTCTAATATTATAAATAATATTTCCATTGAAAAAGCCAAGTACCCAAGGGTGATAGTGCAGATGGCAGGGTGCTTGCCTTGTGCATGGAGGACACAGGTTCAATCCTGGCAATACATATGGTTCCCCAACCCCACCAGAAATGATCTCTAGGTACTGAGTGAGAAATAAACCCTGAGCACTGCTGGATGTGGCCCCTAAATAAATGAAAATAAACAAATAAGCACAAAACCAAGTACCCTCTCTTTTGATCTCAATCTCTTCACTTCTGCAGTTATCATACACTTTCTCTCCATGGTCATGTTGTCCATGGCCTTGCACCTGGCCTACATCTCATTGTGTCTTGGTGGCCCTGAAATGAATGTAATGTCAGAAAAAATCTAGATGTGCAGGATCTGGGAAGCAACTCTCAGACAGCTGATTACATGTGCCTGTGTTTGAAGCAGCCCATGTATTGGAGAGAGATGCAAGAATCTTGGTTGTGGATTCTTCCTCCTTTCCCTCCTGAATGCCTTGAACTACTCAGTCAGTTTGCAACAGTTCCCTATGTAAGCTTCCCAGAGCACAATTACTGCATGGTAACTAACACAAACATGCACACACACACACACACACACACACACACACACACACACAAATTCCATAAGACTTGTATCTTAAAAGTTCACTAATTTTAGACACAGAGATAAAGATTTTTCTCTCCTGTTGAGCATGGGCTGACATATGCTATGGCATACAGGAGCCCTAGGTCCAACACCTTGTTGACCTCTGTAACACCACGTGGCCTGAGTATAAGCTAGAACTTGGGGAAAGATGGCCAGTGAATGGCAGTTTGCATGACCAGATCATTTTGCAGTCAGATCTTTGCAGGTAACAAAAGGAATAGGATCATCAAAGCAGAGGAGGCAGGAAAAATGCAAGATCATATGATTAATTGTTTGATATCAGAAACAAGGAAGTATGTCACTAATGCAAACTATCCCCATGTCTGACAAGAAGATACCAGTTCCCTGCCTCAGAACTAGCCTTGATCAAAATATGGTAACATCTGACAACCTTAGGTTTCAACTGCTTCGTCATAGTTTATCTTGCCCGCTGATATCAACAAAAGCGCTTTCTTGACCCATATTTTTAACAAACAGGAGACTCTCTGGTCAAGCTGGGAAACGGGGGCCAACAGGGCTTCTTTGCCCTGTGGACTGCTCCTTCCTTTGTCAGTCCATCAGTTTTCTCCCTACCATTTTTGAAGGGTCAGATCAATCGATCAGCTGCGGATGTGTGTACATGTATGTGTGGTGGTCTTTAGTCAGTTCATTGTCTGTCTGTCTGTCTGTCTGTGTGGAACACTCGAGTGCTGGTACCAGGTTGAAATCAGAAGTAGAAATTCTTGAGAAGTCAGTGATATGCAACTCAGTGATTGAAGGAATGCAGTTGTTTTTGGAACTTGTTAGACAAGGTTTAAATGAAGATTTCTTATCAGAAGGTTGAGCCTACAGGGAAAGCAGAATTCTCAATCTAGATTTCTTATTAGAAGAACATTAATGATTAGTAACAGTTGAAATCCTTTTGAACTTAAGAATCTGTACTATCTAGAAGAGCTGTGGAACTAGAGTCTGAAACTAAAATGAAATAAAGTTCAGAGAATGCAAGGCTTTATCTTACAAGCCTCAGCCAATTGTAATGAGGAATTTAGCTGTTTTACAAACAACAGAGGTACATAAGCCACTAAAATAAAGTTTCCTCATATTAATTAATAGTTTTCTTATGTTACCATAAACATTGACAGTCCAAGTGCTTTTTCTATGCTAATATCAAAGTTTGGTAAAAACTAAAGGGCTTTTTCTGTGTCTGAAAACATGTTTGTATTCTTGTGGAATTGGTAAAAGTATCTGGTGTAGAAAGCTTATGATTGAAATAACTAAGGGACAAGAACTATTGAAATTAAGCAAAAGAGGGTTTACCATGTTTTATATTAATTGGCAGTTCAAAGGTTTTATGCTGTTATATCAATGTACATATTTGTATTTGCATTGGATTAGAATATTTGACCTAGAAAATCTTGTGAGTTGAAATAATGTGGTACATAAAACAGGTTCATGTTTATTTTAAAATATGAGTTTCTAGAGTTATAAAATTAGTTGCAAAACTTATCCTACCAGTGGTTTTTATTTGATCTCTGAGACTTTTGGTAACTAAAATTTCTAAAGGTACCTAGCAAAGAATTATGAGTGATCTCAGATGTCATCTTGATAGTCTGAAGCCATAGCATTGCACCTTGGTGAAAGTATGAGATAACTGTATTGTTAATCAGCTTGTCCTGTATGTGAAAATGCATGCTATTATTATGATAACTTTATTTCATGCCAAGCTTTGTCTCCAGGTATCAACCTAGTCCTGACCTTGGCAGAACTTTGTACACAAGTGTAAAATGCTTTCTGTTCTATGGTAATCTGAGTGTTTAATCTTTTTGCATTTGTGTTTTCCTAGAAATCAGAATTCTAAAATGTCTCTTGGTTAATTTCTAATGTAAAGTGAACTTTTGCCCAATGAATATATGTTGTAAGAACTTTAGTTGTGAGCATCTCTAAAGCCTTTTAAAATATCTATAGAACTGAGGTAATGCTTTTGAAAAGGTACTGCAGAGTATTTTTGTCATGTTAAATGAGATGATTGGTAAGTAGTGTCCAAACTTGGGAGATCATGTGGTACTAAGTTCAGTAAAATAAGAGTTCAAACTTGTGGGATGACTCTTGGGAATATAGACATGTGTCTCAAGTCAGAAAGATACTGGACGGATTATCCAGACTCCTGTTACAGTGCTCTTAAGATAATTGAATTTTTCAAAAGTTGCAGGAAATCAAGGGTTTTGATATGGGATTGAAAACACATGTTAAACGGTATGCTTTATCTCTACAGATTTTAGCTTCTCTGACTAGGACCCACAGCAAACAGGTGTATTACATCTCTGTGAGTAAAATGAAATGCTTGCTTTTCTCTTCTTTTATACCTTCAGTATGTTTTTTGATGTTTCATGGCACTATGTTGGTTTGCATAAATCCAGATAAGTCTTTCCTCTCTGTAATAGGGTCTACCCCTCATGCAGACAGGAAAAAACCAACTATGGGACCCCAAAGCCCTCTTCCAGGGAACAGTCAGGGGATCTGTCTAAATGACAGGAGCAGGGATTTAACAGGTACTGTTTTCAAGTACCCTACAAACCTCAGGGCGACCCTAGAGGCAGGCTGGCTCGAGGAAAGAGTAGAAATCATCACTGCTATGGAGAATGAGGAATCCAGGACTCTGTAATGACTAACTCAGTCTGGGCCTACTCTCAGCGTCAAGGAAAAACCTGGAAACCAGGATTTCTCCCACCCCTGAAGAAGGGATGGGATGGACTCCTTTCTGCCAGGACATCTCTGTGGAAAATGAGGCCCGAAGGCTCGAGGCCATCCAGTTCGTCGCGGGACATCTTATGGCCAGGCCTGGGTAACCCTGACGTGCCAGATAAGATTAATGCCACTTTTGGTTTGTCTCCTGTCTTTAGTCGATCCCCAGGACTCAGTAAATAATGCGGTATCCCAAATGGAGAGTTCTCTAATCTTACTGTGTTTATGCAAAAGAACAAGCCAGGTTTGTTAAACTATCTTGCAAAGTTTTAAAATGAAGGTGGAGAGAAAACCATGTTTCTGCAACTCGTTTTTTGTAAGAACCAGATTCTAATTCTACAGAGGTGATTGAATAAATGTATTTAATCTTGGTCTAAAAGGTACCCCTCTTTGGGAAATTTAGATAAAACTTGGTTACTCTCTGTAGGTAAACAGCCTAATGTATAAAGGAACTCAATGTTATGCATGCTGTCACTAGCTCGATCAGAGCTTTACTAGGGTGAAGCTCATCTCAAAGTGCAGAATTGCTTTCCCCCAGTCTGTGAATTGGCCAAGGTGTCAAGAAAGGGCATCTAAACTGGTTAAATTAGAATGGATTAATATCTAGTTCTGAAATACTGTGAATTTTCTTTCTATACTTTATTGCATCTCATTTTCTGTGAACAGTTATTTGGAAAGAAGAAGGATATTAACAGCTCTTAATTTTTGTTGCATCATGGGATTAACACCAGAGAATATTTCCTCTAAGCCAGAATGCTCTGCAGAAGAGGAACCATGGACATTGGAGGTTTCCAAAGGAAGTTGATGGATTTACCCAACAAGGAAAGTTACTAACTCCTGGACCTATGCAATGGAATATTATTAAAGGGTTATGCTTTAACACCAGTGAAAACCATCTTCCATGGAAAGGAACTGAATAGCAAGTAAGGTAGAAGTAATTCAGAACTGTGCTTTCTGTGCCATTAATGAATCTAGAGGAAATCCTGAGCCTCCTCTCCTAACACCTGTTCAGCATCAAGGAACTTAGAGGAGGATCAGCAGCTTGACCTTATGCAGATGATCAAATGCTCATACGTTCAAGCTATAAATACCTGTTGGTTCTCATTGAGAGCTTCAGTGTATGGGCAGAAGCTTTTCCTATCTGTACTGAGAAAGCCAGAGAATGGCTTGGTGTTTCTGTGTCCAGTAGAAATATCTGGACACAGGAAGTCATTTTTCTTTCAACCAAACCTGCAGGTAGAGTTATTCCTTTCCATTATTTTAATGATAGATATGGGTATGGCATTATGTCGCTTTGGTTTCTGTTGCTTTAACTCTTTGTTTTTTAAGACAGCAAACAAAATTGTCCTTGCTGGGTCAGAAAGGACCTTCTACTCCTCCCAGGGTCTAACCATTTCAAAGTGATAACCCTCAGTCTAATCGAACTGATTTTTTCTTTCAGATAACTTCAGGAACCCAACCAATTCATTGCTGAGGGCCACTAAAAGCTGAGGTAGTATGAGATTTCACCCCTTGTGTAGGCAGGGCC